GTCAAACTCATAAAATGTAAAACGCGGTTCAAATCTCAAACCTGATTCAGGAACTTTATCCCCTCAAGTAACCCATCCGTCAGCTGTTGTTCAAAACGACGCTTTTCTCTTTGCTTCATCAGATTCAAGACTATTACAGGGGCGCCATGCCTTTCAATGAGATCAGCAAAGTGTTTGCCAAAGGCCTCATAGGAGGGATCCTGCCACTATAAAAAAAATTCTATACTAATTTCGTAGCATTAGGATAAACACATGCCCAGAACACTTACTTCGTTCTAGACATTAGTTTGAAAGTAATGCGCATTGTACTGATGTGCTGTTAGAAGATTTAGGTCATGAACACTCAGATTTGCCGTTTATTCTGCTATTTCGAACCCCTAGAACGCTAACAAATGGTAAACCTTGAAATGGTGTCCATGCACGAGTACAAAAGTAAAAGGTCTTGCCTAAGAGGGTTTCTTAAAGCCAATGCAAAGGTGACTCACTGTGATGGCCAAAGGCGGTTTCCCTACCACCAGACGAGCAGTGTCCTGAGACCAGAAGAGAGGCACGGATCCACGATGCTGCACCAACGCAGAAACGCGCATTCGTGACAGCGTCGGCTCCGTCGTATCACACACTATCTGCTCCGTCTCCACCTGTACAAACAAAAGCAAAAAATAAGTATAAGCCCGAGTCATTCGGCGTAGATTGAAAAGGCCATTCCACCGTAGTTGTAGCGCCCAATTCAGCTACCACCAAATGGGTGGATAACGAGCTAACTCGAAGCACAGTGCAAACTAATTTGTCTGCCGACACAAGACTAGACCACAGTATCCAAGTCAAACGTCGTTAGAGACTTAACATCAACTACATAAACTAAAAATGATGAGCGAAAAAAAGAAGCCACAAGCATATTTGAAGTAAACCTGAGGAACGGTATGAATAAGCTGAACAGAAGCATGAATTAGAACGTAAAAATAGATGGCAGAACATTTTGAGTAACTCCTGCACCTGCAAACTGGCCAGAGGATTCAGATGAAGGTATTTTTTCCGTTTTAAGAAAAACAGCACATATGAATCCAGTAGTATAGACATGAACTCCCTTCAGGCAGGCAGCTTTATTGGTTTTTAACACAACACTATCCAACAATGACGGCAGAATCGAAAGGCATAAAGTAAGTTGGAGAAGTGTCAGCGTGAAACGTCGGCTAATTTCAAGGACTTTCAGACTTGAATGCTTTTAATGCCATTGAACTTGATAACCGCAAATCCCTTTCTGAAAAACTTAATAAAAATCCTAGCCCACGAAAAATATCCAAATAATAGCTAGAGGATGTTACAGGAGTGCACCTCGTTTGCGACGTTTCCGTCAATATTGATTCCTCTTTTGAGAAATCGGGTTCCCGCAAAGAAACGTGACCTCCGCGCCACCAGAACGATGGATATAGGCATTCCACAAGATACAAGAGAGGTCTGCTTAACAAATCCATGTATCAAGCCCACGAACCAGTCAGAGGTGGCCCCGCAATTGGGTTGAAAGCGAGGAGGCAGAAGGGGGAAATTCCAGAGAAATCGCGAGGACGGAATCATTCGGAAAACCATTGCGTTCACTGCTAAGCCGGGAATATCTGCTGGAACTCCCAACTTAATGCGAAGTTCGATTCGTTCATTGGATACAAAATGAATTTCAAAGGTAAAAAGGAGTAAAAGGACAAGTTGGAGGAACAAAGCTTACGTAAAACTATGACACTCACAGGTTCCAGATTTGCTTGAAGGCTCCTTGTCAGATCGTAGGTGTAGCTGAAGTAAACGTATCTGTTCAATTCCAAACTCTGAAACATTTTTAGGTAGCGCGACTCCTCAGACGAATTCACAGCTGGGATATTTTCGTTGATTCCCTCTTCTGCCGAGGAAGTTGGAAATTCTCCAGGGATATACACCATTTTAGTCTCTTCGATCTAAAATGCAAAACGCAATGACATTTCAATCGTAGTGGGTCTAGAAGATTTATTAATACGGACAAAATATCGTCTTCCATATGAGATTTATCCTACTGAAGTTCAAAAAAATCAAATAAGGAGTGAAAAGTTAGAAGAAATTACCTTTAGTCATGGTTATGCTGCAGATTGTTTGAATGACCCAACTAACCTCCAATTGTTCGAAGATGGGGAAAGCGGGAATACCGTTACACCAATTCAAATGGCACATTTATAATCAAAATGTTATAAATACACTGTTGAGCGAATAGCAATCATCAAGTGCATTAATGACCAACCTTGTAAATTCTGTGCTCCCCGATCCGTGCAACTTCTCGCCGCTGCGTTATAACAATGAGGTAATAGCCAGCCAAGAATCGAATGAAGCCGACAAGACCTACACCAGTGAGCGAGTTGGTGATAGGGTGACAGCTGTCTGCAGACATAGGGAACAGGGTTGATACGG